TGTACTCGTCTATTAGTGGTTGCTGGGGTCGATTCTCAGCTCCTCGCTCTGTCTCTTTCTGCTTTCCATATTTACTTCTACTCATGTAGACCCTATCATACCTCTTCCTGAAACTACGTATGGAGCCTGCTTCCACTGCTACTTTGTCCAGATTTTTCCACTTCCTCTCCATCATGATTCTTAAGAAATACTTCCTGACATCCCTGGGATTCCTCTGTGTCATTAACTTCCAACTGTACCCTTTTGTACACATTCTCTTATTCTCAGTGTATCACTGTCCACTTTATCAAGCCCTTGGAGTAGTTTATATGTCGTTATTATGTCTCCTTTGCTTCTTGTATCCCCTAATGTGATCAGATTCATTTCCTTAGCCTCTCCTAATAGCTTGTTCCATACCTCTGGAACTTGTCCGGTTGCACATTCTCCAGTTTCTTAATACAATTTGTCACGTGGGAGCTCCATGCTGGTGGTGCATATTTGAAAATGAGCGTAACGTAAGGTTAGGTAAGGTTCGTCAAGAAACAGGACAAGTGTTTCCTGACGCGGGCCTTAGATGACGACCCGCCATTGGAGCTTTTGGTCGTCTAACCGAGGCCTTCCGCTGGCTTACCGGTCCACCCCTTTAAAAAATATGGTCATAGTTACAACCATTTGTGAAGTAAGCAGTCTAACATGAGTCATATATAAGACGATGACTGATTACGTTGAGATTTCTGAAAGCCTATTTTGGATCTGAAGGACGAGCATTCACTGCAGATTTTATTCGGTTGATGCTGGACTCCAGCGATATGTTCGGAACTATGCTCACCCCTAGGTCGTTTTTCTTGACTCAGGTTTGCAACCATTGTGTTCAAAGTCAGCACTAAACTTCTGATTTTTTTTTTCGTTCCCCAATTTTCTTGTATATACTGGGTTTGCGTTAAAGTAGTCACTTGTCTGAACAGAACACTCTAGCAGTTTGTACGGGACGGTTTTTATTTTCCTGATTAAGTTTACATCAAAAGCTATGTCATTTAAATATGCTAGACGCAGTACTCGTCCTAATACTGATTCTTGCAGAGCCATCTTGCTAGGCTTTTCCATTCTGATACCTGTTCTCTTTGTCTTTTTTCCTCTAAGTGCTTTGCTTTTTGATAAACTGTAGTACATTCCCTGTTAATCTTGCCTGCTCCTCAAGTTTCTGACCCAGTTTCTTGTGAGGTACACTGTCATAAGAATTCCTGCAGTCCAAGAATATTCAGGTCAGCCATTCCTCTCTCTCTCTCTCTCTCTCTCTCTCTCTCTCTCTCTCTCTCTCTCTCTCTCTCTCTCTCTCTCTTTCCCCTGCCTCTCTTCTGTTAATTTGTCATTGAACTCCAACAGGTTTATAAGACATGATTTATCATCTCTCAGCCTCCTCTTGGTTATTGTTTATGAAACCATTTTCCTCCAGGGCACCACTACTCTCCTTATATTCCCCATTACTGTACACAATTTGCAGTCAGTAATACTGTTTTATCAATTTAAGTTTTCTGTCTTTCTCCTTTCTTAAATAGTATAATTACATTAGCTGTTTTCCAGGCTTCTGGCATATTATGCTTCTGGTGTCTCGCAGAATCCATGGTGACATTTTTAAGTCTTATTGCTTAAATAACTTTTTTTAAACCCATTTTGTGTGCATGGTGTCCAGTGTACGATGGTGTATCCTTTCTACATTATGTTTCAACCGTAGGAGGCCCTGAGTTGGTGCTCACGTAGTTGCAATCGCCATGTTTGCATATTATGTCTGTAGTAAATGACAACCCGGGGCCTTGTACGAGTGAAACACACTGAATATGAGTGGTGTTGTCTTCTGATTCCACTGAAAATACTTAATTCAATTGTTTGTTCTGCTCTTCATAGACTTGCCTGCCATTTCACGTGAGCTCTCCTTCCTTCTCATTACTCTCGTCGTCAGCTGGTATGGTCGTAAAGCAGTTTCTGTTCAGATTTGACATTTTCTGCGGTCTTTCTCAAATCGCCGTTCATCTCATTTTCTCACTCTTTCAAATTATTTCCTGTTTCTTCTGTTCATATATGTTTTCTTCTATCTTTTCCTATTTAAGTTTTCTCCACACGCTTTCACTGTTGTTATCTTTTTCCTTTTCCATCCTTGGTTAAATTACGGATACTCTGTTCTTACCATTACATTTTTTTCTCACACTGTATCTAGGAACTACCTAATCATTGTAAAGTTTCCACTCTTGAAATCTGATTTCTTCCGTCCCCCACTTGTTATTCTTCACCTAATGTTTACTTCCACAAGGTATTAGAAATAGTATTCAAAGGCCTCTTATATTCCATTTCACCTATATAAGCTGCACTTGCAGTAAATACTACATCCAGTCTTACCGAGTCATACCTTCCTCTTACTGCGTCCATGACATGATGGTACACATAGTTTTCCATCATTACCTACATCAATTAGTGAGACACATGCACAACACTAGGAGTTTTTATTGACGATAAGTTTCGCCTTCGCTGCAGGCTTCATCAGGCGATTTCATAGATATCAGAATTGGCAGAAGAAGCATACGACATGGAGAGGTAGTCAGGGTAATCAATCCATCACTCTTGGAACAAGATTATAGGTATCTTAGCCAAATACAGAAGCAATTGGCGCAAAGACTTATAAAAGTCGTAGTGTTGCCCATGTCTCTTATTCTTCAACTTATCGGTATTATAACTCATTTGTAAGATAATTCTTTACGGATGAAATATCCAATGATTAATTTTGCTTTTAGCAAATAGGCTCTTCCCACTTTCCCTGTTGTGTCAACCATTACTTTCATTGTGGTGTCAACCACTACTTTTCTTGTGGTGTCAACCATTACTTTCACTGTGGTGTCAACTATTACTTTCCCTGTTGTGTCAACCACTACTTTTCTTGTGGTGTCAACCATTGTTTTACTGTGGTGTCATCCAATACTTTTACTGTGGTGTCATCCATTACTTTCCCTGTGGTGTCGACCATTACTTTCACTGTGGTGTCAACCATTACTTTCCCTGTGGTGTCAACCATTACTTTAACTGTAGTGTCAACCATTACTTTCACTGTGGTGTCAACCATTACTTTCACTGTGGTGTCATCCATTACTTTCACTGTGGTGTCAACCATTACTTTCCCTGTGGTGTCAACTATTACTTTCACTGTGGTGTCAACCATTGCTTTCCCTGTGGTGTCAACCATTACTTTCACTGTGGTGTCAACCATTACTTTCCCTGTGGTGTCAACCATTACTTTCTCTGTGGTGTCAACCATTGCTTTTGCTGTGGTGTTAACCATTACTTTATTATCGTGGTGGTGGCGGTGGTAGTGACAGTAAACATGACTCACGAAATCGTAATGACACGATTGCAAACAAACCATACCACGGGCGGGGATAGAACCCGCGATCTGAAAGTCTCAAAACTCCAGACCGTCGCGTTAGCCACTGGACCAGCTGTGGCTAGCTGGTCCAGTGGCTAACGCGACGGTCTGGAGTTTTGAGACTCTCAGATCGCGGGTTCTATTCCCCCCCGTGGTATGGTTTGGTAGAGAGAGTGTTGTGGTGGTGGTGGTGTTAACTGTGTTATTATTGTTATCGTTGTGGTGGCGGTAGTTTGTTTTGGTATGCCTTTGTACTGTTCTGTGTTTGATGTTTTTATTTACTCACTCAATTGCACTAATCTATTTGTGGTTGCAAGGGTCTTCCCTCTCCTGGTCCAGTCTCTCCACTAGCCGGTACTGAGTCTTCCCTCTCCTGGTCCAGTCTCTCCACTAGCCGGTACTGAGTCTTCCCTCTCCTGGCTGCATGAGCCCTGTCATACCTATTCTTAAGCTATGTCTGGATCTTCCCTCCACTGTGCAGTCTAGGTAGTTCCAGTTCACGACCACTCTAAGGCTTAAGAAGAATTTACAAACATCCCTGTGTCTAGTCTGTGTTTTAAGTTTCAGCTGTGCCCTCGTGTACCTGACATCCACCTTGTTCACCTTGTCAATTCCTCTCAGTACTTTTTTATGTCGTAATCATATCACCTCTAGCTCTTCTGTCGTCAGATGTCATCGGATCAAGCTCTTGTAGCCTCTAGGACTACTGTCGTTCCAGAACTATTTACACCTCTAGGCTTAACAGGTAGGTTTACAGCCTTTGTTCCCCAAGCCTGTACTCTGTGTCCGGTTATCTTTGCTCTTCCACGATTTTCATATCTTTGAACTTTCTTTGGTCAGATTTTAAGTCACTTGTAACACCAATCCTGCAACTTCTCCGGATCCGTTTTTAGTGTATGTTCCACTTCACGTCATCTGCGGAACAGGAATACCTCTGATTCTTCTGTCATGTCATCTATGTACACAAACTGTATCGGTGCCAGTATTAACCCTTATGAAACCCATTCATCACATTTGCCAGTCCATATTTCCCCCCGAACAAAACCACTTTCTTTCCTTCCTATCATATATTTATTGATCCACTGTAGTGTCATGTTACACAGTTGATGAATGAGACATATATGCAACAATAGGAATCTTTTGGACAAAATGTTTCGCCTGTGCTTCAGGCTTATCAGTCGAATATTGAGAAGAATTACACTCCTGGAGATATCAGCCTTAATGATAAACAAACTAGACGAAGTCGAGATGTAGTATAACGTAATCAGTTCATGAGCCTTATTAATGCAAGACAATCTTAATGTGAATTTGAATAAATGGGTTGAAAAAGAGTCAAGCTGACAAATGAGACTCAACACTTCGACTCTAGGCTTAGATACTGATTGCCTTCACTCATCATTTTCCACTTTTTTTCTGCACTGGACTGAAGAAGCCAATGGCTGGCGAAACATTTCCAGAATTAAGATACTCAAATGTTGCACGTGTGTCTCATTTATCGTGTTAACCTGAAGTAGAGGACCGTGGCCAGAGACTTATGTACAGGACATTAAGGTGCAACAGCTTTTAGATGAAGTGACAGGTAAGTTAGGCCCACTAGTAGAATTAGGTCATGCTAAACAGTTACTAGCAGTAGTGTTTGAAGACATCCTTTGTGCTTGAACATAAGACACTGATTGTCTTGCAACAGGGCTGATGATGTGATTACATCAAACGCTATGTCTACTTCTTCTTCTGTGTCTTCCACTAAGGTTGATGTCTCCATGAGTGTTATTCGTCTCTGTATTCGACTGTTCAAGCCCGCAGCACAGGCCAGCTCTGCCTGCATGATCAGTAAAGAATCCTTGTGTTGCACATTATCCACTGTGGAAGTTGCACTATTATTCCTGCTTGCTTCTCTAGCTTTCTTCACAATCACTTGTGTGGTACTGTATCGAACGCCTTCTTACAGTTCAAAAATGTGCAGTCCACCCATCATTGTCTCTTTGCTAACTTTCGGCACCTTGTTATAAAACTTTAGCAGATTTGTAACTCAGGATTTACCATGTCTTAAACGGTGTTCGCTGGTGGTTATGAATCCGATCCTTTCCAGGTGCTACACTACTCTCGTGTGTGTGTGTGTGTGTGTGTGTTGTGGTGTGTGTGTGTTGTGTGTGTGTGTGTGTGTGTGTGTGTGTGTGCGTGTGTGTGTGTGTGTGTGTGTGTGTCCACCTATTTTCTAGATATTTTTGGTTTCAGAAGTCGATTCAAAAGCTCCTGTACTCCCTTTCCTTCCTTCCCTCCCTCCCTCCCTCTCTTCTTCCCTCCATCCCTCTCTCTTCCCTCCATCCCTTTCGGTCTGTCTTCCCACATATCCCTTCCTCTCTCTCTCTCTCTCTCTCTCTCTCTCTCTCTCTCTCTCTCTCTCTCTTCTCTCTCTCTCTCTCTCTCTCTCTCTCTCTCCTCCTTACCTGGATCATAATGGAGAGACCGACGATGCCATTGGAGCCAAGTCTCGCTTCACTCATGTTGCGGTAAAGGTCAGCGTTGAAGCCATACAGCTGAATCTGTCGGAAAGAATGTTGTGTGAGACAAGAACCACTGAATCTGACGGGAAGTGAATCTAACAGAAAGGGGTGTATTGTGTGTGAGACAAGAATCAGTGAATCTGATGGGAAGGAATGTATTGAATCTGATGGGAAGAAGAATGCTGTTTGAGACAACATTCACTGAATCTGATGGTAAGAATGTTGTCTGAGGCAAGAAGCACTGAATCTGAAGGAAAAATGAATGTTGTATCAGACAGCAACCACTGAATCTGGCGGGAAGGAAAGTGTTGTGTGAGACAAGAACCATTGAACAATGTCCTTCATTTAGAACCAATAATTAGCCAAGAACTTCAGTTCGTATATCTCTGTATGGTACAATACAGTTGAGTTAATTGGTACAAAAATACTTTCCCGGTGATGTTATTACGTTGAGATATGTTGTCTTGTGGAAACATAATAGAACTTTAACATAATCTAGCAATATTATGTTAGTCTAAGTTATGGGATGTTAGTTTAGGTTAGGTTAAGGGCAGAATATGGCAAAAGCCGACAAGTAGGAATAGAGGCACTGCTAGATAAGGTTAGATTAGCTTACGTCAGATTGGTTTAGGTTAGATCATTTCAGGTTAAGATAAGTCAGAACAAATTAAGGTAGGATAAATGAGGTTAGGTAAGGTTTGGTAGGGTTTGGTTTGGTTACGTTAGCTAAGGCTGACTAGGTTAGGTTAGATTATACTAATGTATGTCTCTTTAAAGTACTTTACCCTATAATTACGTACAAATGATCAACATCAACTAAAAAGTAAAGAGAGCTGTGTACGTCCGGCAGCGCGAGGTGAATCATATAATCGTAAAGCGTACATTTTCTCACGAACGCTGAAAACATTGGAGTATGATGAAGCTGCCGGGAGAACATTGTACGAGACTCCGAGGAACCACTAACCTCATCAGCATACAATGAAAATATGAAGAGGAATGGTAATAGATTTTCTTGAGGATGAAAATTCTGGTTTTAAGCTTAGTGACACTCCTGAGTTTGGAATATTGTGGTGTGTGTGTGTGTGTGTGTGTGTGTGTGTGTGTGTGTGTGTGTGTGTGTGTGTGTGTGTGTGTGTGTGTGTGTGTGTGTGTGTGGTGTGTGTGTGTGTGTGTGTGTGTGTGTGTGTGTGTGTGTGTGTGTGTGTGTGTGTGTGTGTGTGTGTGTGTGTGTGTGTGTGTGTGTGTGTGTGTGTGTGTGTACTCACCTAGTTGTACTCACCTAGTTGAGGTTGCAAGGGTCGAGTCCAAGCTCCTGGCCCCGCCTCTTCACTGGTCGCTACTAGGTCACTCTCCCTGAACCATGAGCTTTATCGTACCTCTGCTTAAAGCTATGTATGGATCCTGCCTTCACTACTTCGCTTCCCAAACTATTCCACTTACTGACTACTCTGTGGCTGAAGAAATACTTCCTAACATCCCTGTGATTCATCTGTGTCTTCAACTTCCAACTGTGTCCCCTTGTTACTGTGTCCAATCTCTGGAACATCCTGTCTTTGTCCACCTTGTCAATTCCTCTCAGCATTTTGTATGTCGTTATCATGTCCCCCCTATCTCTCCTGTCCTCCAGTGTCGTCAGGTTGATTTCCCTCTCCTCGTAGGACATACCTCTTAGCTCTGGGACTAGTCTTGCTGCAAACCTTTGCACTTTCTCTAGTTTCTTTACGTGCTTGGCTAGGTGTGGGTTCCAAACTGGTGCCGCATACTCCAAAATGGGCCTAACGTACACGGTGTACAGGGTCCTGAACGATTCCTTATTAAGATGTCGGAATGCTGTTCTGAGGATTGCTAGGCGCCCATATGCTGCAGCCGTTATTTGGTTGATGTGCGCTTCAGGAGATGTGTCTGGTGTTATACTCACCCCAAGATCTTTTTCCTTGAGTGAGGTTTGTAGTCTTTGGCCCCCCTAGACTGTACTCCGTCTGCGGTCTTCTTTGCCCTTCCCCAATCTTCATGACTTTGCACTTGGTGGGTCACAGGTGCCCACTCTGACACCTCGCCATGTACCATGACTCGCTACTGTCTTCCTGACAAGTATTCCCTGATCCATTGTAATGCCTTCCCTGTTATCCCTGCTTGGTCCTCCAGTTTTTGCACTAATCTCTTGTGTGGAACTGTGTCAAAAGCCTTCTTGCAGTCCAAGAAAATGCAATCCACCCACCCCTCTCTCTCTTGTCTTACTGCTGTCACCATGTCATAGAACTCCAGTAGGTTTGTGACACAGGATTTTCCGTCCCTGAAACCATGTTGGCTGCTGTTGATGAGATCATTCCTTTCTAGGTGTTCCACAACTCTTCTGATAATCTTCTCCATGACTTTGCATACTGTGCATGTCAGTGACACTGGTCTGTAGTTTAGTGCTTCATGTGTGTCTCCTTTTTTAAAGATTGCGACTACATTTACTGTCTTCCATGCCTCAGGCAATCTCCCTGTTTCGATAGATGTATTGAATATTGTTGTTAGGGGTACACATAGCGCCTCTGCTCCCTCTCTCAGGACCCATGGGGAGATGTTATCTGGCCCCATTGCCTTTGAGGTATCTAGCTCACTCAGAAGCCTCTTCACTTCTTCCTCGTTTGTGTGTACTGTGTCCAGCACATGGTGGTGTACCCCACCTCTCCTTCTTTCTGGATCCCCTTCTGTCTCCTCTGTGAACTCTTCTTTGAATCTCTTGTTGAGTTTCTCACATACTTCACGGTCATTTCTTGTTGTCTCTCCTCCTTCCTTCCTTAGCCTGATTACCTGGTCCTTGACTGTTGTTTTCCTCCTGATATGGCTGTATAACAGTTTCGGGTCAGATATGGCTTTCGCTGCTATGTCGTTTTCATATTGTCGTTGGGCCACCCTTCTTATCTGTGCATATTCGTTTCTGGCTCTACGACTGCTCTCTTTATTCTCCTGGGTCCTTTGCCTTCTATATTTCTTCCATTCCCTAGCACACTTGGTTTTTGCCTTCCTGCACCTTTGGGTGAATCATGGGCTCATTCTGGCTTTTCATTATTCCTGTTACCCTTGGGTACAAACCTCTCCTCAGCCTCCTTGCACATTGTTGCTACATATTCCATCATCTCATTAACTGGCTTCCCTGCCAGTTCTCTGTCCCACTGAACCTCGTTCAGGAAGTTCCTCATTCCCGTGTAGTCCCCTTTCTTGTAGTTTGGCTTCATTCGGCCTGGCCTTCCTGCTTCCCCCTCCACTTGTAGCTCTACTGTGTATTCGAAGCTTAAAACCACATGATCGCTGGCCCCAAGGGGTCTTTCATATGTGATGTCCTCAATATCTGCACTACTCAAGGTGAATACTAAGTCCAGTCTTGCTGGTGTGTGTGTGTGTGTGTGTGTGTGTGTGTGTGTGTGTGTGTGTGTGTGTGTGTGTGTGTGTGTGTGTGTGTGTGTGTGTGTGTGTGTGTGTGCGTGTGTGTGTGTGAATATATTCGCCTATATATACTCTCCTATATGTGTGGTAGCTGGGGTCGAGTTTCAGCTCCAGGCCCAGCCTCTCCGCTGTTCGCTACTAAGTTCACTCTTCCCTTGGCTTCGTGAGGCTTATTGTACCTCTTCTTATATCCATGTGTAAATCCTCCCTCTTATATCCATGTGTAAATCCTCCCTCTTATATCCATGCGTGTATCCTCCCTCTTTCAGTCATGCGTGTATCCTCTTATATCCTTGCGTGTATCCTTCCTCTTATATCCATGCGTGTATCCTTCCTCTTATATCCATGCGTGTATCCTTCCTCTTGTATCCATGCGTGTATCCTTCCTCTACCACTTCTTTCTTTCCTGTGCTTTCAATTTCCAGCAGTGCCCTCTTGTTCTTGTGTCCCTGTCCATCTTATCAGTTCTCCTGAGTATTTTGAACGTTGTTATCAAGTCATCTCTAGTCCTTTTCTAGTGTCATTTGGTTGCTCTTAACCACTCCTCATGGGACATACCTTTTTTTCAAGGACTATTCTCATTGCAAATTTCTGCATTTTCTCCAGTTTCGTAATATGCTTGATGCATACTCCAGTAGGGTGATGCATACTCCAGTAGGGTCCTGACGTACTCTGTAAACAGTGTCGAGAAAGGCTCCTTACAATCATCCAGTAGGATTGTGAGGCAGGATTCACTATCTCTAAAGCCACGATGGCTGTCATTTATATATCCACTCTTTTCCAGGTGCTCCACCACTCTTCTGATAATATTCTCAATTACCTTATATATCAAGCACTTCACTGATATTGGTCTGTAGTTTAAAGCCTGAAGACGCCAAATGTTTCACCACGTGTGGTGTCTTCAGAAGCCAGTCGTGGCGAAACATTTCCTCTAATAAATGTCTTGAACTGTATATAAGTATCTTTTGGCACATCTTGTCGGTATCACCATACTATTTGTCAGTAATGAACAGAATCCAGTTCCTTGCGTCCGCTCATTTGTGTATCAGAAACCTCAGGAGACCCTACAGTGATCCTTGGGGGACTTCACCGACACTTTCAAAAAGCTATATATGATTTTATCGTACTTGTTCTTAATTAATGCCGTGGAAGGACTCTTGATCTAAGGAACTAGTACTGATCTGCCTTTTGTCGAAGCAAGTATGATCCCCTTTCCCCAGACACTGCATAAGCCCTAAGGCTTTAGCACTTCCCTATAAATATAATAATCGGTATCCCTTCATGTTCCCTCATAGTGGTGAGAAAGATGGCAAGCTTGGTCACCCTGTCTCTTTCGTGGAGAATTTACTATGTCATGATTATGTCTCCTCTAATTTTCCTTTCCTCCAGTGTCGTGATGTCCGCTTCATATTGTTTTCCTTCGCAGGCTTAGTAATGAATGACCCATACGGTCTTATCACTTCATGAAATACATTCTCCTTGGATTTCGCAACATTAGATCTGCAATTTCATCGTTCACTCGTTTCATAAGTAAAATAATATTCTGTCGACAGACGACAGTCGAACATTATTAGTTATATTAGCACAGTTCTTCCCATATTCATGTA